TTTTGCTAGTTAACCACTTTTTAATATCTTTCAAAAGAAGTGAGATATATAGGCTCAAAGTGGACGATCCGGGTGTCGTTCTATTAGAGGTTTTACGGTAATTGCGTTTTCGAAACCTTTTTGTCAATTTTTCACCAATTTTAGGCGTTTTTGTGATAGGAAAACGGGAATTTTAAAAAATTCGAAGGTTCCGATATTATGAATTTTTCAAAATCGGAATATTACGAAATTCCGAGTAGGCCATTCGGAATATCAATGAATAAGAACTGGAGATACTTTCTTACAGATTGGCTTTTAAAAGTTGACCACTGTTTTCCCATGACTTTCTGGTTGTTTCTCTTTTCCACGATAAAAGTACACCCATCCATTACATGCTTTACTGACTAATCCCTTGTAGAGGAGAGTCCTTTCATTGACCCCAACTAACCCCTCTTGTCAATTAATTATAGGATCATTACCCGCATCTTCCCTAATATTTTGGTGGTGTATTCTCTACTAACCTCATCAAAGTGTGGTGAATGATTATTGACATCTTTAATGCGGAGCTTCATTGTTCTGGTGGCAGACTTAACAGGAGTTCCAGCATCAACAGCGCTCACTTTTACCTGAAATAAAAATTCGTATTATATCAAATTTTGTTGTTGTTCAGCTACCTGAATCTCTACAACTTTCTGTTTCTCTTTCATTAAAAGCGTCAGATCGGATGCTACAGTAATCTCTCCACTCTGTTCGTCAACACTCAAGATCTCATGTGAGCTTCCAGAGATGTCCTGGATAACGTAACGAATCAGACCATTGTATCCAGCATCTTCATCACTGGATTGAAGTTTAGCGACAACCTGAAAATCAAAAATTTTAACTAGTAGTTTCCCTATGACCCCTCTCTTTCCATTTTTATTAAACAGCTCATATTCGATCCCTTTTTAATCCCATTTAAATCCAATTCCCTTTTATGATGTTGCCCTTTTCGCACATAGCAAATCAGTCAAAACTCTTGCTTGTGTGCAGCTGCGAGACAAATCATAGGCCATCTGTCATTTGTTTGACACCCCTCTTCCACAGTGTCCGGAATAACGGTCCCACTGGAATTAAGAGTTTCGAATACATGTCAATGAGGTGACAATAATTGAAGTTTCAAGAGATACATATCATATCGGGAAGTGGATTCAATACTTTTCAAACTAAAAAAAACAACGTACCGTTCCGATTGGAGCATCTTCGGTTACTTCCACAACTTCTGGAAATGAAGAAAAGACTGGAGAGTGCTTGTTTTCACTTTCTTGAATGATAACCGGTTTTGGCTTGGCGGGAACCTGAAAGAAAAGTAATTGACCATCAAAAAGTGATTCAACTTTCAAAATACCTTTGTTCCATTTTTATAGAACATCAAATTCAGCGCAGACATTCTTGATAACGGAAGTCCTAAATCAATAGCCCACACAGTCACCATCCAATTGTTACTCTTTGTCGGAACTTCGATCAGAGTTATCTCTCCAGTGTTGGCGTTTATTTCGAATGGAATTTCACTGTTGATCTTGTACACAACTCTTCCATTGTCTCCTTCGTCTTGATCCGTTGCATCAACTTTTAGAAGAACGTCTCCAGGTTTTCCTAATGGAATCGGCGCTTGTCTCATCCATTTTGCGGACCATACTGGTGAATGGTTATTTGAATCCACAATTTCTACATAAACATCTCTTTCGTCTTTCTTCCCTTGAATCCCGTGAAGAGATACAGCTACTTTGAACTTGTAGACTCTCTCCGAAATTGATAATTTCGAAGAGACTCGAAGAACTCCCGATTTGGAACTTATTGTGAACGGAAGTGAAATGTTTGAAGAAGGATCAGAAATGGAAAATCGCATTAGCGAAACATCATCAGGATTCTCAAGAGTGCAATTGTTAAATCGGGCCAAAACTCTTCCGATCGGAGCCATCTCGTCTGTTTTGATCATCAAGTCCTCCTTTACGTTAAATTGAACTGAATGCTCAAGAAAATGTTCAATTTGAACTGTGACTGTTTCATTCACAGGAACAATTGGTTTCTTGCTAATCGAAAATCCACTTTTTGATACGTAGTCCTCTCCAATAGTTATAGTGACATTGGTGTTTTTTGGAATCTGGGTTCCGTTTTTCTGAAAATAATCGTTAATTTTTTGGATCCCCATTACAAAGTTTTCAATCGAACTTCGTTTTCTATCTTACTTCTAATCTAGGTTTAATGAAAAAAAAGATAAAATCTTACCGCAAACAGCAACCATCGTACTTCTTCCGTTAGTTTTCCTTCCGGTTCAATTTCAAACCAATGCTCTTTTTCATTACTTTTCATTCCGACTAGCACTTCTTTTGGAGCGTCTTTCAATGTTATTACCGCAGCCAGTTGTCGATTTTTCAGAATATTCGGGCTGATTTTCCGCCGATCGACTGAGGTTTTTGTTTTCTTCGGCTTCGTTTCCCGAACAGTGATCTAGAAAAACAATTATGAATATCAAGAACATATCATAAAAATAGCGTACCAAAACATCTTCTGTCCATGGAGCCTGTACTTCATTTTCGTCATAATAGTAAAGACGAGAAGCTCTATCTTCTGCTTTTACTTTTAATGAATACTTTCCTGGTTTGAGATGACGTAGAGTTCTGATCCATCCAGACACCGGCTCAACGAGAAAATCATGAGACCGATTGACTAGCGAGAAATAAATGGCAGAGTTGATTCCAATGTCTGCATCAGAGGCTTCTACTCGGAGAACAGTGGAAAATGGCTCAGTCTGAAGTGAGGCCACATAAACATTTTGAAAAAAGGACTTACATCATCATCAATGACAGCTTCGTACCCTTGCTCATCAACCAGAAACAGAGGACTCGCATCGTTTTTGTCAATCACTCGTAAATGGATCCGAGCAGTGGTTTCGAGATTCGAGAGATCTCGTCGTTTGCATGTCGCTTTGACTAAGATGTCGTAGAAGTCCTGAAAAAAAGAAATAAAATCACTAAAAAAAGATCCAGATATTAACCTTTAGTTCTCGGTTGAGTGGATTGTCACCTTTGTAGCGGATTCGTAGAAAAACAAAGTCGCCGACTTGTCGAGCATGCGCCTTGAAAAGCGATGACTTTTCACCCTGAAAAATTTATAAAATGTATTTTTGTATTTTATGCTCATTCAAAATTCAATCTTACCGCAATTTCGGCAACTCGAAATTTGCAATTCGCATCTTTTTCCGGCAGCGGGACACCAATTTTCGTAGCGTTCTCGGAGCGTGCATACTTCGAACCAATGGAATTTTCTTCGACGGATAAATTGTAGAGTGGAGCAGTGAATTCGAATATGTGTTCTCTTGGAGAAGAGGTGGTGACAAGATTAACAGTTTTACAGAATATCAGAAGAAACAGGTGGAAGACCCTATGCTTCTTCATTTTTTCTTGCTATTTTGATTATTGAAATGCAAGTTATTATGTTTCCGTTGATATCCTTCTTACTTGCATTTGGCAGTTTCGTTTTCTGAAATTAAACAAACTTTAAAATTCGAAGATTTTCTTTTCTCAACAAAAAAACAAGTTTTTTGGCAAATTGCAGCGAAATGACTACAGTAGCCAGGGAAAAAATATTGAACAAATGATCCTTTAATGCTACAGTAAGATTTAGCAAAAAATAACGATTTGCGATACAATTGAGAAGTTTGAACGAATTTTCAAAGATATTCAGGAAAAGTTTAAAAACACATCTGTTTCGGACCACCATGACGATTGCCGCCGCAGTCAAAGCATTTGAAGAAATGGTGTTTAGGATCAAATCGTAGTTGAAAAAAAAGAGGGGGATATAGTGAATGGGTGTGGACGGAAAGAGAAAGAAGAACATTTTGGAACAAATAATGATGGCCATCGACGTAGATGTTGCGAAGAGAAGAAGAAAAAGAAGCAAGAGACGAAGAAGATAGAGGACAGATGGCACACCAAGGATAATAAAAAGCATATGCCTTAATAGAAGACGTTGAGATAGAGATGAATTCAGTAATTACCGTAATCATAACTTATTCACAAGTGTTCCTGTTTTTGAGAAAAAAAACTCAACAGTTATTTTTCGAACGAGTAGTTTTTAATGACAGTAGAGACCACTTCTCAGGAAATTGATGTCTTACTCTGACTAGAGAAACGAATGTCCAAGAAACTTTCAATGAAACGAAAGCTAGCTACGTTTGAAAGCTTCTCATATCCCTAAACAAATAGAAAGGTAGAGAGGCAGATGTCATCGAGCATCTCCGGCATATTATATGCATCAATACATAACAATTCGATGCTAATATTCCCAGTCTCACAAATGCACCACTTTTTTCTATTGATAGGAAATAGGCAATCCGTTTTTCTTATACAGATAAAATTTTAACTCTAAAGAGCGATTCAAGTGGCCAACTAAAAAGCCTCTGCGTCAGCTCGACATCGTCCCAACAAAAATTTTTTTCGAATTTTTGATTATTTAGGTGACTCAGTCTTACATTGTTTTTACAACAGAACCGTTTTTTTGCATCTTCGAAAAAATCCAAAGTGATTTTTTGAAGTGTAGAAGCTTCAACATTGATCTAAAAAAGCTAGAAGTAAAACTCAACTCCATTTTTTTCTAAGTTTGCCAAAAATAGGAGGGGTGTCTTGTGTTCACAAACGATCTATCGGCACTTGATCGATAGATTCATAACATTTATAAATATAATATTTATTGATCAGATTTCTGAATACTTCACTCAAAAGACCGACGAGCGGCTGCTCCCACAAATGCAAATACAGAGGAAAAGGAGGCCAAACTGACCTCCCCTCCTCTCAAGCTTTCTCTCTCTTTTTTCGGTATTGGCTAACTACACATGGGTGAGTGACTGTATGAGAAAAAGAAGAAGAAGAAGCACAATGTGCAAGTGTCCCCAAAAAAGAAACAATTTGAAAAAGGAAAAAGAGTATAACATTACACTCTTCTTCAGTTCGCTTTTTTCTGAATTCTCCTACATTTCATCCCGCGTTCTTTTCTGTTTCTCAGTGCAGACAGATAGTTAACGATGCATTCATAATAGGTTCTTCCCAAGGTGAGATAGGAAGAAGAAGATTGAGAAAAGGATTCCAAAGAAAAAAGAAGGAAAATCGGAGGGGAAGAAGAGAAAATGAAGAGGACGGAATGGTTTTCGGATGGCATTGACTATCTGTGGCGGTGGTAATGGTACTGTCGAGGGCAAGGAATCAGGGATAAAAAAAATAAAAAGAAATATTTGGATGAGACCTTCAAATAGAGATGAAAACCAATCTCTATTGTTTCAAATCATCCTGTGGTGGGTGATTTATGAGTCGACGGGGGAACCATTTCAAATACCTTATCTTATAGGAATTTAGTTTGAGAGGTTCACTTCTAAAGGGAAACCTGATTTCAAATGGGATTTCGAATTTCATAAACGGAGAAAAGAGATATAAATGTCAAAGTTAATCAAATCAAAGAGTGCCAAAAGAAAAGTGATAGGCATATAGAAAAGAGAAAGATGGACAAAGAAAATGTTAACGAGCATGGGAATATCGTTTGATTAACATTTCGATTTCCTTTTGAATATTTGAAAACTGTGAGAATAAAGGTATTAATTGTGAGATTGTTTGAACATTTTTGGAGAAGTAGAATTATGGGAAACCAGCAAGCTGGTGCACCTTCGACGCGATCCAAACTAGTTTTTCACTGTTTCGTAGCTTCGCTCTTCACTTTTTCTCAAAGGGTCACGTAAGTCTATATTTTTTTCAAGCTTTTCAAAAGTTGACAGACTGACATCGGGACGAACAGACGCCTCTAGCGTTTTATATATAAGGAAGATATTCAAAAACAAGTTCAATATTGCCTATTTCTCTTATAAAAGGCCAATCCGATTTGTGAACTTTGAGCCCAATTATCTCAATTTTTATAAGAGAACATGTCAACTGATAAAAGTTGAATGATATAAGGGGGGGCCCGCTTTTTTCCNNNNTTTTCAAATTTTCATCCCAAATCACTTCGATTTCCAAAATTTCTGGGAATTTGGAAATTTTACGTGATTCACAGAAATTGAACGTTGCAATTTCTGGGATTTTTCACAGAACTCGAACGGTCCGAGTTCTGGGATGAAGGATAGAGTCGCGAGTATACTGTTTTTTTTCTCTACACAAAAAGACGATGGGGGTTAGCGATCACTGTTAACAAATTTTTAATACGCTCTTGGTTCTCCAGTTATGCACCTGTAGACATACACCCAAAGGACTATGAATCATAACCAAAGGTTTAGTTTTAAGCTAGTTTCTAAGCTTTGTATCTCAACATCTTTATTAGCTAGACGGATTTTATGATCTACAGGATCCAAACTAAAAAAACTTTAAATTTCACAGCTTGGGCTGGTTCGGCACCTCTGATTTACATGCACG